TGTTACTCTCCTAAAATCTTGTTTTGAGATTTTTGTACCATTGTTTTTATTTTTTTCTTTAAAATAAAATAACTGATGTAAAAAAAAAATAAAATAAACCAATATGGAGATATACCTCAGCCTGAAAGCCTGGACTTTTAGTCTTACTACAAGGAAAAAAAACTATACTTTACAGTCATTGAATTTAATCATGCAGTTGCACTTTTTATAGTTATTGATTTTTTTCTTCTTAGTAATAAATGTGTATAATTTAAAGAAAGGAAAAGAAATCTTCATTTTTATACCAAGAAATTGTGTGAATCTTATGTGTGCTTAGAAATAGTGCATTGACTCAGATTTCCAGCCAATATAGGAGGCTCTTTAGAATTGTTAGCTGTGAATACAACCTTCCAGATTAGCCCAGATTTAAAAATGCTTCTGCTGTCACATAGCCTCCTAAGATTTTCTGGAGCTATGGATATTGCAGAAAGTGTACCTTTATAAGGCTTTGAAGAAATTTCATATGATATCAGACCAATTTCTTCATGATCAGTCATCTATGGTGAAGAGAAAGTCTAACAAATTTGAGAAAGTATATGTGATTTTAAATTTCAGCTAACATTAATAAAATTAACTATAGTGATAGTTTGCACTGGTTATAATAACCTTAAATCATAATGACACTTTCTAAAGATCGTGGAGCAGGAAAGGGAAGGGGTACGAGTGAAATGGGGGAGGACTGGGTTTTTCTAAGTTCTTATTTTTTCCATTCATAATGGGAGAGTTCATCCATTGCCATTGTATTTTAAGATTATGCGAATTTTGTTTTGTTATTTTTAGAGACATACAGCTAAGGTTTTGCCTTGGTTCTCCAAAGAGATTTGGATTTTGACTTTTTAAAAATGCTGGAGCTGTTAAGACTTTGGATAAGACATTACTGTATTTCTGATTTTACCCTGGAAAGTTCTAGTATGTAAACCATTATTGCTATTGCCTTTATTTGAAGAGTAAGTGGCCTAAGAATATGTGTTTGACTATGAAGCTGACAAGTGGTAGAATGTGGTGGTTAGGCTAGAATTTCAACATGTCTGGCTTGGAGGTCTGAACCAGGGATTATCACAGCAATTCTAGGTATGTCTGGAGTCAAAATACAGTAAGCCCTTGGGCCCATCTCTAGGCTGTCACCATTTCTGCCCTGCACAGCTCCCTACTCTGCTCCTGGACACCATGAACTTTAAGCAGCTTTACCCTACCATGTCTTGGGCAATGTTGTGTCAGCCGTGGTGCTGACGTACCATGGACTAAGACAGTGAGAAATTAAACCACTCCCCATTTGCCTTGTGTGTTTTGCTTATGATGGTGTTTGTTTGTTTGTTTGTTTGTTTTGTGGTACTGGGGATTGAACTCAGGACCCTGTGGTTGCCAGGCAAGTACTTATTCTACTGAGCTATCTCCCAGGCTGTTTTGCTTATTATGGATCAGAAAAGAGAAAGCATTATCTGAATATGCTGTAGTACAATTACCCAGTTTCCAGTACTGATTCTGGAAGCACAAGTATTCGGCAGACCATGTTGCTCAAGAGGACAGTGGGAAATCCCAACTGAATAGAGATGCCTTCCTAAAGGTGTTTCTGAGGAATGAGGAGTTTCCCAGTAGATGTACTGGAGCAAAAGTAGGTTTCAAACAGCAAAAAGGTCATGAAAGTCTTGTGTAGAACTTGTGTGTGTGAGCAACAGACATGTCGATCTCACAGTATTTTTATTTCATTTGCAAATGTTAGACAGGTTATTTTTCTATTCTATTATTACTTCATGAATTATCATGGAGAAAGGCACCTGCTTAGGCAGATGTAGGGGCTGGAGGTTCAATCCCAGGCCTGCAGTGCTGGCCCCACCCGTAGGGTGAGCTGAGATGACGATTGAGACTGGGTGTGGTGGTGAGTCTGTAATTCCAGTGCTTGGGAGGTTGAAAACAGGAAGCTCCCTACAAGTCTGTGTAGTGAGACCCTGTAGACCCTGAATTAACACGGGAAAAAAAGAGTAGAATTATTACGGGGAGATAGCTCTGTGGTCTAAGCACCTGCCTGGCAAGTTCAAGGATGTAGATTTGACTCCTGGGACCACATGCAGCACCAGTGCCTAGAACCCCAGGCATGCCACGCTAGGCATGGTGGCACACGCCTGTAATCCCGGCACAGAAGAGACTGAGACAGGAGCATTGGTGTGAATCTGAGCTGCATAGCGAGACCCTGTACTAAATAAATAAATAAATAAATAAATAAATAAATAAATTTTAAAAGAAAAAATATTATAAAAGATTTGAATAAATTTGTATGGGGCGAAATTTCATCAAAATTTTTGAGTAACAGGAGGAGAAATGCATGACAAAGATGACATGGATGATGTTATTCATTGAGGGAACAGATACTATCTTTAAATCTCTGACAGGGCAAGAGCTCCAGGTGGGGAATAATATGAAGATTTAGCAAAGATTTTGTGTATGTAAACACACTAGCACTCTCATAGTACCAAAAGCCATGGAAATACTCCTTGTAGGTATAAACTTGCTTATTTTCGTATATAGCACATATTCATACCTACATCAAAACCACATATTGGAAGAAAGAATGCATTCTTAAGCTCTTTGTTCATTAAAGTTAAAGACAGGCTAATTTTATCAAATACTGCAAACTTCATAATATTTTTCTGAAAAGCTGCTTCAGTCAGAACCAATAAAATTTGAATTAAATATAAATTTTGGCATTCTTTTCCCTGCTCCTGTCCCTCAAGTAACATATGCCTAAGGTTCAAATTCGCCATAACTTTATCTCAATTTTCCTTTCACTCTTATCAGAGTCTGGATAAATTATGATATAGTATAAAGTCAGCAATGATTGCAAAATCCTGTGATGTTCAAAATATAAAGTGAGAAATTGTTTTTTTTAATTAAAATACAATATTTTATTTTTTTCCACCTAAAAAACAAGCAACCCAGAATTAATATATACATAAACTTCTCAAACTTACCCTAATAAAATTTTGAATATACAATATCTACAGAAACATACAGTGTATCAAAATCTGCATAAATCAAATTTATAAAATGTGTAGAAATGCATTGTGCTAGTTATCAACTTACAAAGCAAGGATATGGGAATTATTTCCAAAGCAGCCGCAGTAGAAAATAGTCATTATGGCAGCAGCTTCTGCTGTGTTTCATGCTTGCTAAGGTTTCTGATTTCAATATACAGAATCTTGTTCTCAGAATATCTTATTTAAACAAATTAGTCACACACACACATACACATAAATTTTAATTTACCCATAAGATTACATGCACAGTTCATGTGCCACCTTTCTTAGGCTTATTTATAGATAAGAAGGTTATAATTCATTCAGCCTGGAAAACAGTACCTATGTGCAAAACACACAAGTAATTAAAGTACCAGTTGTTTCTTTTTATGGCTAACTTATTTTGCAATTATAGAAGCATATAAAGGTATTTCTTTAAATATCCCTAAAGATGAGTGAACATTAAAATGGCTAACCACAGATTAGTAGCAAAATACAAACTGACAATTCAAAATTATAAATAAAACACCATTGAGAATGTTTAACTTTTACTCTCCAATGTTAAGAACTTTAAGAAGTTTGGAGGAACTAGATTGAAGGCTTTCCTTTTAAACAAATGTATTTATTTATTATTTTTAGCTTTAATTAACAATATTTTCCTCGGCAGTAGTATGTAAATTCCCTTCACTGTTTGGGTACCATCACTACAAGATAAAAATGCTTACTTACCAATCTCTACTGCATTTTTTAAGCACTCAACTTAGGCATTTTAATATTTGGGCTAATAAAAGACTATGTAGAAATTAAAATCAAATTAACCATTTGCAATATTTGGTTCTTCTACACTAGGTACTGTATTAATAAATGTTTGAATCCAAACAAATGTTTTTATTAGAAAAATACTAATAACATGTTTCCAAGAAAGAAATTAAGAAAAACAAAAGACTATCCATTCTACCAAAATAGTTCACATTTATTAATGAGCTGTATGAAACAGTCATTTTCTCAACTTTCAGAAATGTGTGTGGAACTCATTTGGATGAAGATAATAAAGAAATTCTTGATTCATTTAAATCATTGAGATGAGATTCTAAAAATTTAATTTGGAAAACTCAACAATCAGCAAATACAACTTTGTACAGAGTTGTTTTTCATTGGGTCTGCTCTTTAAGAAGCCAAGATATGTATGACTTTGGTACAGGAGGCACAGAAGAAGACTGGGCATGCTCTTCCTTAGATGTCCATCGTGCAGGCAGGCAGAATCCTCTCATCTAGTCAGTCCTTGCCCATATGATGAGGAGAGACGATCCAAGATTTCCAATTAGAGGAAAAGTTTCAGCCAGGGAAGGTTACTGGCACAATAGCTACCTGATAAGTTCAAGGTCCTGCTTTCTACATTAATACCAACAAAAAGAAAAGAAATAAAAGCATCATAAATGGGGCAAATTATTTACTATGAGTAGCAAATAAATTTAGAGTCGAAGATTGAGGCCTAAAGATTTTCCCTGTGACAATCATCCTCAGAGCCTTGCGAAACCAAGGATAAAACAGACCATAAATAATGGGATTGAAAGTAGAATTGAAGTACCCCAGCCAGATGAAGACATTATACAAATCTTCAGGGGTTGTAAAATCAATGAAAGGGTCCACCATGGTCAAGACGAAGAAGGGCAGCCAGCACAGCATGAACACTCCCATGACTATGCTCAGAGTCTTGGTGGCCTTGCTTTCTCTTCTGGCTGTGGGTTTCATTGTGCTTTCTGACTCAGCCTGTTTTGTCCTGGGACCTGTGCCAATCTTCCTGGCATGCTTCCTGGCCACTGTGAAGATGTGTATATACACTCCAGTCATGATTGCCCCAGGAATAAAGAAAGATATCAGGGGAGCCACAATCCCCCAGAGCTTGTTAAATATCACCACACACAACCCTGTGCACTCAATGGCTGCCATAAAATCCTCTCAACCAATTAGGTTTAATCCTGAGAAGACCAGGCCAAAGGCAAAGAAGATGGGAATGGCCCAACTGATGAGTAGGAAGAACTCTACGACAGGCATTGTGATTTTGGTGATGTAGTGCAGAGGGTCACAGACAGCATAGTAGCGGTCAACTGAGATGAAGCAGAGGTGAAAAATGGGCGTGGTGCAGAGCATGACGTCGCAGCAGCTGTGCAGTTTGCAGAAGAGGTCTCCAAAGTACCAGCAGGAGTGGACGGAGCGTGTCATGCTGAAGGGCATGACCACACAGCTGACCAGCAAGTCGGTGGTGGCCATGGAGAGGATGAGGAAGTTGGTCGGGGAGTGGAGCTGCTTGAAGTGGGCGATGGATGTGATCACAGCCGCGTTGCCCAGCATGGTCATCACTATGGCCACTGTCATGACCATGTACATGGCAAAGACAACTGGCATGGGCCTGTCCTTTCTGAGACATGAAGCATTAACCAATGGGAAGCAAAAGAGCTCTTGGGGGAAATTCCTGAAGTCAAGTGAATTCATTATTTTTGTCTTTTAAGTCCCAGATTTTTTTTTTCAGTAAAGCTTGGTTCTTTTCTTTTCTGTGAAAAAAGGGTGAAAAGCAATGAAAGTCACCAGAAGGACAGTTCTCCATAGGTGTCCACTCACCCACCCTTCCCAGCCACTTCTGAACTCCTTCTTGCAGGAGTGACGTCTTATTCATTTTGCATGCAGGCATCTCATGAATCTGTGTTCTTAACCTTCCATTCTGATACTGGAGTAGTGTCCAAGGCTGCACTCTCATAAAGTTTCAGAACATAGAGCTATTTACTCATCCATTATCCACATAGGATAGAAAAAACTTCTTGATTTGCTTTTGTAATGAATAGGAGCATATTAGAGTAAGTGGGTCACACATCCACAGTGACCCACTTACTCTAACTTGTATAAAAACTTGTATACTCTTACTTGTATAAAAAACTCTCAAGACTCATCCAGAGCTAGGGTCCTATGATTTTACATTTATTTAAATATTAATTATAATCTGAAGACAATTATATTCTCAATGAATTCTTCTATATCAACTTTGCAAAATGCCTCGATTCTGCCACTTACTGCATTCATAAAAGGAAACATTTTTCTCTTCAGGATTAAGAACAGTTTCTAGAACTTAACAGAATTGTATGGAAAATTGTATCTAAACTATTATACAATAATACATGAATTATGTCCAAAAATAGGTGTGGAATGGAATAAATGATAGAATCTATAATTTTATCTGTTTTCTCTTTTCCTTTAGCAGCTCATTCACAAATTCATGTTCAAAGGAAGAATCTCTTGTAGACAGATCTCAAGCATGCCACTAGTGACCAATCATACTCGTGAATGCTCATTGCTTAATCCATAATTTCAGAGCCTTTACATTGCTAAATGTAAATGTGAATATAATAGGACTGACCCGCCTCGAATGCAATGGATTTGATTTGTTTTGTCCAGTCCTGAAGCTTCAGTGAAATTCTGCTGGCCAATGGCACGTATCTGTGAGCTCTCACACCAAGTCAGGGAAATGAATTTTGATCTACAAAGAGTCTACAACTCACTGATGTTTGGGGAAATGAACCTGTAAACATGTCTTCATCCAAATTCACGGCAGGATGGCGATGCTGCGTCTAGTCCCAGCACTCAAGTAACTGAGGCAGGTTGATTGCTGTGAGTTTGCAGCCAGCCAGAACTACATGAGCATGTCCAGTGCCTGCCTGTACTGAAATATTGAGACCCAGTTTCAAAACAAATGATTTTTAAAAGGAAAAAACTGTAATGAAAATAAAAGCACCATTAAAACTTATTCAACAATTTACTGTACTATTTTTGACAATTATTTCCATGCCTGTGTATTATTAGAAATAATATCATGATATATTCTACTTGCTTTGAATAATTTAATTTCTCAGATTATTAATTTTCTTTAGGTATTTTAACTATACCAATCAAATATTATGCAGGTAAGTTACACTTGAGAGACCCAAAGCAAACTAAAATCTAAAAATGATAAAATGTATTCCTTTACAAAGTGGTGACCACATGGCACAAAATATTTGTTTCCTGCCATTTCAATCTTAAGTGGGCAGAAAATATTGAAATGTTAAACTCCTACTTACCTTAGTTAATATTAACTTGCTTTATCTTTTGATTTTATGGTTGAAAAATGTTTAAAATTTTTAATTCTTGAGGGAACTACCCGCTTGCCTCCCCCCGTCCCTCTCTCAGACAGGAGCTTTATTTCCTTTTCAATAAATGTGTTCTGCTCATAAAAAAAAATTAATTCTCAAAATTTTCTTTAAGAATATCTAAATATGACAATATTAGTGCTAAGGATTTGAATTCCCCACACACAGTTGTCTGTAACCTTTACCACCACATTGCATATTATTTGGGGTTTAAAATTTTTGTTATGAAAACACAAACCATAAAAATATATAGCTGTATACTCTAGTTGATGATATAATATTTGTAAAACAAAATAATTGAATGAGCCACTTCTATAAATTAATAGTATTTTCTCATGCTTCCTTTATATAGTTACATTAGAAAAATATTAGATATCTGATAGATTAGCATAAGAAGATAAAATATACACATTTATTTTAAAATTATTTCGAGTGAATTATGAATGGAACATGAAATTAATACTGAATAGTAAACAAAATGGTAAATCTGTTTTGGGCTTGTCCTAAAAGCACACACACAAAATGAAAGAATTACCAATAGGTATGACTGCTAGCCCACTACCTGCTACAGAAATTGTTATGAAAGTTAGGTTTGTTTACATCTTCAAGCTTAATGCAGTATAAATGTCTTTCCTTTGTAGATTCAATTTCAAAAAGTTTTACTCTATAATTGTTAACAAAGTAAAATAAAGATGCATGTACTGTTTGACATCTCAGCATATCATGCTTCGCTTTTGCATTTTTTACCAATGGCATTTTCCTATAAAAGACAGACACAAGACTCACCTAATTACAGTATTAAATACAATCACCAGAGAGTACATAAGAATTCCTGGTCCTTTTTCCAAGACACAAAGGCAGCATGTGCCAGCAAATCCCAGAAAGCATACGGTGCACAATTATCAAAACTCGGCTGTCGTCCTTTGCGGGAAGAGTACTCACCAAAGAACCGCATAAGAACTCCAAAATAAAGTTTTGCAAATGCAAAAGTTTCCCCAAATTTTGCGGAAAAATAAATGAAAGGAGGGCTGGCGAGATAGGTCAGAGGACTAAGCGCCTGCCTGGCAAGCTCAGGGAAGGGGTTCAATCTCTGGCACCACACGTTGTGCTGGCCCTGCCTCCGGGCGCGCTAAGCCAGCCACCGAGACTGGGCATGGTGGTGCAGGCCTGTAATCCCAGCGCAGGGGAGGCTGAAAACAGGAGGATCACCACGAGTCCAAGCTGCGGAGTGAGACCCTGTACCTAATGCATAACAAAAATAATAATAAAATAACTAAATGAAAAGAAAGTATGGCACATTTCCAAGTCTAAATTCCTAAAAACATGTTTATACATATGATTTGCCCTCAAGTAAACATGGAAAATCTTCAACAGCTCACTATTGTTTCACAAGTAAACATATATATATATATATTTTTTTTAATTTTATTTTATTTTTTTTAAATTCGGTACCAGGTCTTCCTACGCAGCTCAGACTCCTAGTGATCCTCCTGTCTCAGTCTCCCCAGCGCTGGCATCACAGGAGTGCACCACCACAGCTGGTTGGGGCCAGCACTGAGTGCAGTATGAGTGTGGAACCCAGATCCTCATGCTTGCCAGGCAGGCACTTAGACCCCCGAGCTGTCTCCCCAGCCCCCACAAATAAACTTTTAAAGTTTAAAAAAGAATAACACATGCACTTACCAGGTGTGTTCTTTTCATTTTTCCTGGACCCCAGACTCTACTTCTGGAATGATTTCTGCAAAAATAATGAATTTTACTTAGTTTGATACAACTTACCAATTCAAAGGTTCCTCAGCTAAGGAAGAGTACTTGTAAAATATTTTTTAAAATTTTGTTTCCTTTTTACAATCTCAGAGACTTTTGAAAGCATTCCCCCTGGTTTTCACAGGTCAACATTTTAGATATGATTCCTCACAACAGTCAAAATCAAACAGAAAAACTAATTTTCTCCACTCCTCTCCCCACCAATAAATCCTGCTCTGCTTTACCGAGTGCTTGGTTGAGTAGAGAGGTGGAGTGCAGGGCACGGACAGGACAGCTCTCCATGGTTCCGGAGTCTCTCACCAGCCGGGGAGCCCGCTGCTGACTCTGCTCAGCTGCACACCAAGTCCCCTGCCCAGAAGCCACCCCTCCCACACGCTTGTACCCAGGTCCAGACAGCCTGGGCTCTCAGCAAATTTAAGCACAAAACGTGCCTCTTGGGCTCTGCCACCCATGCCCTGCCCTGGCAGGTGTGTCTCTTCTCACTTAGCAAGGTGCTGCCAACAAAGACACCACTGGAGGTCACCAGGGAATTGGTCCTGGGAGGTGAATAGGTGTGTTGCTGTCATTGCTGTGCCTTCAGGGACACAAAATGGACAGCCTCACACAGGCCAAGGTGGGGAAGAAGGAGAAACAGGAAGGAGGGAAGAAAGGCATAGAGAAACAAGAAAATACAATTTAAATCCAACAAAATTCATTCCATTCAGTGTTTGGAAAGCATAGTTTACTCACTGAAATCTTCTCCTTTTGTTGCCATACATTAGCATTTCCTTAAGCCTATAGATTTTCAACTCAGCTCTTTGCACAAAGAAAAAGCACAGAAAAACATTTATAAACAATCAGGTGAGTGAGGAGCGCAGCCCTGGCAAGTGAGTGAGACGACGCGGATCCTGAACAGACCCAGAGCAAGGCCCGGCCAGCGAATGAGGCCGCCTGGGGCCCATGGATCCTTATTCCACCAAGTGCAGGCCCAGC